TAGAATATTATAATAGAATAGCTGAGCGGCAGCCTTGATCAGACCTACATCCCTCCTGCAAGGCTGATCAATGTGCACTGCATGCTGCGTACCACCAACTGCAGGTGGCGGCAGAATAGGAGCCAGAGATGTGCAGTGCCTGGCATGTTATGTGAGTTCTTATTCACCTTGCAGGAGGTGATGTAAAATGTTTTTAGAGAATCCTACTGGCATTTATAAAGCAGAGGAGATGTTGTATATTTCCAAGCAAAGGCTTATTTGGCCAATGCGTTACATACTGTGGCAGAGCTGATCTGCTATTTGTTAATAACTGTTCTGTCAGTACAGTGAAGAGATCACATTTATTACAGGAATTTATATAGCACTGACAATCAACACAGCACTTTCCATAGTGCACATTCACATCAGTCCCTGCCCCCAAGGAGCTTACAATCTAAGGTCCCTATCTCACATACATACATACATACATACATACAAGGGATAGACAGGAGCCAATGAACCTTCCAGCATGTCTTTGGAGTGTGGGAGGAAACCGGAGTACCCGGAGGAAACAAGCACAGGAGAACATGCCAACTCCTCACCGGGATCAGTACTGCTTAAGACACCAACTGCAGTTAGCATCCTGTTGCTTTGATTCCAGACATGAACTGTTTGCTTGGTTAATGTACTAATCTAGCCTAATAGGAACATGTGTTTTCACAAACTGCTATTCTGTTCTGGAACATGGCTACAAATTCTGAATCGTGTGTTTTAGCAAAATCTTTCCATTTCATCCATATATTTAGCAATAACCTTATACAATGAGATGTGGTGCATTGCTTATGTTCTATATATATGTGTAAACATTGACAATTTATGTAGCCAGTATTCTATAAATATTTCTATTCAGATGGTACTGAATGCTTAACCCTCATTAGTGCAAAATATATATTTTTTCTTTTTGCTGGTTGATAGATTCTTTCTGCATATCATATACATTTTAAATCACTGGATTGCTGACATGATTTCAGAACCTGTTTTTATTGTGTGGTAGAGGTGTCAAGTCTGATGAAATATGATATTGTTTCCTTGAGCACTAGCTGGGCCCAGTACACTAGAATGAATATGCAAGTGAATGGACACCTGAATGTGCATGTACTCAGCATATATATCCTGGAGAAATGGTTAATAGCCAGTATAGTTCTCCTATGTAGACTTCCAACAGGGAGTGCTGGCGGCAGACTGATAGTGCTCATCGGCATAGCACTATCATGCCTTAAAGTGACACTAAACTCAGGAGTTAAATCTTAAAATGCATTCAAGTACCTGAACTATGAACAAAAATGTATCTTATTTGTGTATCACTCAGCTGTAGATCTTCAAATCATCTCTGAATTTGTGCGGACACTGTCCTTCCTTCTGGAGGGTGACTACTTTTGTTCCCCTTGGTCCCTGTGTGTGTTGTAAAGTAGCCACGGCTCAAAGCTCACTCCTGTGATGGACTACAATCTCATGTTTAGTTTACTAGTTTGTATTGAGATTATAGTACAGCATGGGAGTCAGCTTAGAGCGGTGGCTACTTTACAACACACACAAGGACTATGGAGAACAAAAGTAGTCACCCTCCAGAAGGAAGGACAGTGTCAGCATGAATTCAGAGATGATTTGAAGATCTACAGCTGAGTGATACACAAATAAGATACATTTTTGTTAATAGTTCAGGTACTTGAATGCATTTTTAAGATTTAGCTCTTGAGTTTAGTGTCACTTTAAACAATTTCACGCAACTGAACTATCATTTCATGTCGGTGAATACCTTTACTTACAACCTATTATGAAATGTGGTGCTTGTGACAGATTCGACCAATCTGAACCCACTGTGCCTAACTTTACACAGCTCTGCACCTAACGAACCATCACAAGGATGTGGCGATACCTTTCAGTCCCACCCTGCATAGAGATTTCACAGCTCATGGGACAACAATCTACAGCAAGCAGACTGAGAACAATTGCCACTGGGGTTTGGTTAACTCTGCAGTTCCGCCTTTACACACACAAATAATTGCTGTTACTACAGGTTTTAAAGGTAACACAGCGTTCTCCGCACAAACTGCAACAATTCACAAATGTAAACAATGCCTATGATACCACTGTCTGTTTAGACAGTTCTATGACAGGTTTCACTATAACAGTAGCGGTGTTCACTCTTCAGGGTGCTATAAGTTCTTATTTTTAGCACGTAGAGATAAGCTTAACGATTTTTAAGATCTTCTTTTCCTAATGTTTTCTTAAACGGTGAAGTAAAAATATACATAAAAAAGGTGTTAACAAAGAGAGACAGAGATGACAGTAAAACTAAACGGAATAAAATAGGTCGGCTAGAACTATGAGGTGAGTGAAAAGCACTCACCTCATAGTTCTCCTTTAACAAATCCTGGGTTAGTAAGTTCTAGCAGAGTCCAGTTCAATGCAACAGAAGATGGATCTGAAGGGCTCTTTCTTCAAGTAAGGCTTGCAAAGATTATGTCTTGATGTTAAATGGGAACTCTTCTTGGATTGTACAAGAGCTCCTACTTTTGATGCTTCGAGCTTTGGTGTTACACGATCCCCTACGGAAGCCTCATTTTGTCGGTCCATTTTGCCCCTGAGGATGAGTAGGAGGGCTGAGCATTTTATGATCCTCTCCGCTGCCCCTCTCAAACTGTTAACTCCAAATTAATAAATATATCTCTTGATTTCGATAGTTTAGCCCAGAATAAACTATAGATGATTGTATGTTACGACATTTGCCTTCGTGTGGACTCTTAATTTGAAATGTTAAAGGAGAACTATGGGGGTCAGTGTTTTTCCCCATAGTTCTCCTTAGGGTAACGGGAGGACACAAACTAGCGTCCTCCCGTTACCCTAAGCTCAGTATACCGCGAGCTACAGCTCTCAAACAGAAGTATATTGTAAATTGTACCTGTTCAATACATTTCACTACGGTAACATGTTCACACGTCACACATTTATAACGTAGTGTTAGTTAAATGACTCATTTTATCATATTAAATAATATTAAAAGTGTATATTATATAAAATAAAGCAAACAAGTGCATCTGTTTTATACATTACTTAGGCCACCATTTTTATGTGAACCTATGAGTACCTGACTTTTGTATTTTGCCTAAGATATTATGGCAGTATTGTAGTACACAATGGACAGGGAATATTCTACAAAGTTAATCTTTGGATCACAACTTTCTCGGGCTCTGAAAATTACTGCAAGACGTTATACCCGAATACATTCAGAAATGTTTCTGAACTTCTTATTGCAAAGCTCAGTCGGGGCTTGTTCACACCAGAGTGCAAGCAATCACACATGTTAAAATGCACAGTAAACCTGTATATGTACAGTTCAATGTGTTGCATTGATCGTAAGTTTGTGCTCCAGTCATGAATTCACCCCCTCTAGCTGATTGGTGCAGCAGTTTTCAAAAACCTATATCTAATTCCCCAAATGTTTGCCAAATTCATAGTTGCATGACATGCTAGATACTGAGTCTTCTCGCTGCGTGTGAGGGTAATTTGTAGGCGTTTATGTCACTCCCTGGTGGCATAAACACTATCCCATTGGTTTTTCCAGCAGCGGAGTCCTCACAGGTCCTGAAGACTCCAGCATGATGTGATGTGACTATGTCATGAGGAGAGAGCATCAAGACCATTTGGTCGTAGGTACAGACTGCAGCGCTGGATCACTGGTCCCCTCTAACAATAGAGGCGCCAGTGGGGAACACGGAACACAGTATCGGGTAAGGAGTAAGGGGAGTTGGGGGCTTTAAAAAAAATAGTAAATGTAAGGAAGGTATGGGGGAATATTTTGTTTTTGTTTAGAGATGGGTTTTAATTGTACACCAACAATACATATACATGAATTCTCTGCGCTTTGCAGTGCACTGCATTGCCTGAAATAGAACAGGTGTCATTTTCAGTGTTAAGGGCCCATTCAGAAGGATTTGGCTGCCTTAACACAGTGTGCTCCAGTGCACAAAACCATATGCGTTAATCTGCGTGCATTATGGGGTGAACAAGTCCTTAACCCATGTTAATTTTTCTACGCAAGAGTCAGGACTCATCCATACCAGAAAACATCTGAAAATGCGTGCATATCATGTATGAGCTAACATGCACTTTTTGCAGCATGTTGGTGTACACCTGTGACATTAAAAGCAGTGTATTTTTTATCTTTAAATTTTAATTGTGCTGAACAACACATCCAAGCACATTATATGTGTGCTAAAGGAGTTTCCCACTTTTAAACAAGTGGATACCTATTCAGATCTCTTGTAGCAACAGTATCCATGCTACGGGTGTTTGGCTTTGCCCTGAGCTAATACAGGTAATGATTGCTAAACATACCTGGACTTTGTATAGGCCAAAGTCACCTTCAACAGCTAGTGAGTGGGCTAGAGTGTTATAGATAGGGAGAGGGTTAAAATGGTCTTGGGCTAGAGTGGTACAGCTAGAGAATGCTAGAATTATACAACTAGATAGTGAGCTACAGTGGTACTAGCTAGAGAGTGGGCTAGAGTGGTACAGCTGGGAAGTGGGGTAGAATGGTACAACTAGGGTGTAGGTTAGAGTGGTACAGCTGGGGAGTGGGCTAGAATGGCACAGCTTCAGGAGTGGGCTAAGGTGGTGCAACATAGGTGGACCACTTAGAAGTGTTTTTATGTAAATTGCCCATAGAACATGCCCAATAAAGTTTAAAAAAATTGATCCTTTTCACTTCATCCTCCCCGATGGTTTATATGAGATATGGCCCCTAAAGGAAACGCAAGATCAGAGGGAGATTAAAAGGCTCCCTTGGAGCCAGCATCCTCACTTCGTATGGTTCTTGCCCTCTTGTGGGAGGAAAGAATATTTCTGCAGTCCATTATGGAGGATTCCAAGCATGCAGCTTTTAGGAATCAGGGCACTGGCTCTGTGGTAAGGCTCTGATTTCCCCTGGGGATGCTAGAGGATCCCAGGACTCTGTGGGTGATTCCCTTAACATCTTTCTCCTGCCTATGCCCAGTTAGGGACGGTCTGTCTTGGCAGTAGAGACTTGGCGGGCTCCTCCAATGCTAAGTCCATACCGCACTGATTGGCATTCACTAGTGGGGGTGAGGTGTGGTTGTTCTTGTTCTCCTTTCCTGGCCCCTACCCAAGGGAGGGGGAGGGGGGTGGCAAAATGTTCTGATGCCTGCCTTTTGTCCTTCTGACAGGCGAAGGCTCAAGACAAGCCAGCTACAGAACCCAGAAGGTGTCGGCAGCTGCAACTCAAAGCTCTAGTTTGTGCAAAAAGAGTTGTGTTTCTAGGTAACTTGCTGCATTCTGTAAACCTCACGGGGGGAAAAAAGGATTTGAAGATTGCTTTCTTAGCAGAGCAGGCAAGAAATGTTGACTCTCCACCAATCAGGAAAGTCATGTCTGTACTGGGCACGATGATGGTGACAATCACTGGGGTATTTGGGCCTGAAGCCCACTCCAAACCTTTTACATGCTTTTATCTTAGAACCCTAATATGGGAATCCACGGGACACCAGGCCCAGTTTACTACCTCAGACCTGATCATCACCTGATCGGAAGCCAATCTGTCCTCTGTTTCAGCCACATACATAAAAGGGAATGAGAATGATGGCTCCAACAGGGAGAATGGACCCTGAATCAAAAGGTTTTTGGGACACTAGCAGATCTATTTGTGAGCCCCCAGGACAACCCTTTTGGTCTGGATGCCCTGTTATACAAGTGAATGTTTGTTTCCATTGGCTAACGCCTTTCCAACCACATTATTACTCGAAAGAGTAAGCAAAAATCTCTAGGAGAATCACTGCAGAGTAATTCTGATTGCTCCTCTCTGTCCACAAATGGCCCGGTTCTCCCTTCTACAGAACATGGAGAAAGGTTCTCCATTCCACCGACAAGTCAGACCAGACCTTTTTTTTTGCAGCACCAAGTACTACACCCTCACCTACCAGAATTACACCTAACAGCTTGATTAATAAATGGAAAATCAAGGTCTCCCAAAAGCAAGGGGCTGTATGAAGAAGTAGTGACCACTCTGCTTTAAAGCCGCAGGCTAGTCACTAAAGTCTTCTATATAAAAATTGGGAGGAAATACTGTTCCTGGACTGACTCACGCAGGGTTAACTTCTGCCTAGTACCCACAATTCTGGACTTCATTCAAGAGGGGGGCGAACCAAAGCCTAGCCCTCAGCATGCCTAAAGTCCATGTGGCAGCCATCTTGGGCTTTTTGAACCGTAGACTCGCCACCAGTCCTTATACTTATGTATGGGTTGTCAGACTGTTGGTCTTCTCACAAAAAGCTGAGGATGCTGGCTCAGGGAACCGTTTAATCTCTGTCTGATCTTGTGTTTCCTGCAGGAGGTTGGGCTATCTCTCATTCAAACTGTAACGCAAGCAAAAAAAACACTCCCTGTGTGTGGTATGTCCTCTTAATAAGCATGTTATAGGTGGGTAGATCGAAGGAAAAGTTGACACTGTGATGCAACATGGTTTTCCTTCCATCTCTCCTGTTATTTTGGCAACAGAGTATGCCACTATTGAGGCGAGAACCGTAGAAAGGGGTGTTCTACCCACATCAAAATGGGTTCAATTATTCAAGTAAATTGACTAATTACTATGGCATAGGTTTTTTTGACCTAGCAGACTGTGCTTTCTTGTTCAGTTTTCTCACAGCAGGTCAGAGAATAAACGGTAAAACCTAACTCTTTGCTGGGTGATACATCTTTGTTTTGTTTCACGCTATTTTTTTTTTTTTATAAATCACCATCACAGTCTAATAATACTTAGTTTAATATACCATTATTTACCTTCTTGGGCAAACTCTGTTGATCTGTATACCTTCAGGTGCTGGATAAAAATAACTACATGCAAATTTACAGCCTTGCTTATCCAAATCATAGCTGTATATCCTGTTTAGCAATGAAAGGGATTGTCTTTACACTTCTTCCTGCAGTAATTTCGAACAAATGTTTACACCAAGTTTGAAGTGCACCCTTGAGTTTGCTAGTAATGGGAGCCCTGCTGAATAATCCATTTCTTTCTAGTACGTAAATGCTCGTTGGGAGATGTTTAAAATGGGTAGGAAATGTAAATATGTTTTAGATTAGTGAATAAGCTGATGGCGGAGAAGTTGCTATCTTAATTTAAGTATAAAAATGCACTTTTGAGTCTGCAGAGTAACTGTAAAAGAGCTGAATTATTGATACCAATGAAACTAGTGTGGCTAAGCTGATGCACAATAATTGTGTGAGAATCATAAACCTTTGTAGGAAAGGCAGCATGGAGGAGGTAATAACACTGCATAAAACATAGGTTTCAGGGAAAGGTTTTGTACAGAATTTGTTGAGTGTGGTCAATTATTTGAATCTCTTACTGCAAATCAGTTTTGGTCCAGAGAACTCGGTCTTATTTTTTGTACAGCCACCAGTTGTTTTTGATGTTGATCCTGGTGCAGGAAGGTCCTATACTTTTTGCTCATGACTAGGCAGGTTTAGATTTGATGAGGCTTGCCTACTGATGCAGGGTACATTTTAGGCCTCATTCACACAGCTGTCGGCCCGTACAGATCCGTGCAGTGTGCACGGCCATATTGGGCCGCTCCCGGTAAGGACAGGTGCTGCATGTGACTGTACGCAGAAGCCTGTTCTCTATGGGAGTACACCGCCGTACGATCACCCGAACTGCACATCCATGTGGGTGCGGGTGTCCGTGTTTGGACGCAGACAGGATCCGCTCTGTCTGTGTCCGAGCACGGACACCCTCACGGATGTGCAGTTCCTACTGCCGGGTACTGTGGATGTGTAGTGCCTACTGCCGCATACTCCCATAGAGAAGAACAGGCTGCTGCCTACAATGACACGCAGCACCTGTCCTTCCCAGGAGCAGCCCGATACGGGCGTGCACGCCGCACGGATCTGTACGGGCCCCTTCTCATCAGTATGGATGAGGCCTTAGAGTTAAAAGCTTATGGTTAGGGGTTCAATAAAGGTTTGGATGTGGAGAGAGTTAAAGTGAAACTTCAGGCAAACAGCTGAATATACATTCAAAATGTATATGTTTACAGCCATACCACCATTGATTTCTGTGGGCGGCTGTATACAGCACCTATAGCTCATAGGCAGGGAAATATGCCCAAATTTACGTTGTATGCCCTCAGGCGGCTGTGTGCATGAGTTCTAATTGTGCACAGTGGAAAATGTCAAGGTTACATGTAATTTGAATGATGCACAGTAGTCAGCAGAATTGACAGTGACCATTTTCACCTCCCTGACCAATCTAGAGCACAAAAACTGAGGATCATATATATGTTACACTGATAGATTGTACCCTTTTGAAAAGGAGTTGTCCCCATATTTGCCATGGCTGAATGTGTCGAGTCTAAGTATATTTGTCATCTGAATTTCTTCACTGCATATCATTTATATCTACTACTGTTCGTCTTAGCTTGCTATATATTAGTTTAGCATTGAAGACTTTTCCTCCTGAGTAGTGGAATTTAGATATTTATTATGTCAGGTATTTCTTGAAGAGAGTAATTAAAAGGGCTCAGCAGGAAATGAATTATTCTGCTTTGTGCAGTCTGCAGGAAAGGGATTTTAAATTGTTTCAGATAGTCTACGTTTTTCCTGTACGTGTAGTAATGAAAACCTCTATCCTCCTGGATCAGTTTTTTTCCACTTGTGCATCCCCTGTGGTGCCGTTTAGAGCTTAAATTAGCTATACTGACTATTGGTATCGTACGGGATAAGTTAAAGAATCCTTTCAAATGTGTGATTGTGATCGCATCTCATCCAAATTGTTGCTACCTATAATAATCCGAAGGACGAGAGACGCACACTCACTTCAAAATAGTACAGGAGTTGTCACACACCTAGTGAATATTTTATTTAGAGTTAAGTTTTCATATATTTCAGGTTGTAACGCTAAAAAAAAACTAAAAAACTAAAACAGATCATTTACATTTTGGTGGGCGCTAGTTTGTTGAATCCACCACTGGCTTTTGAAGACTGCTGTGGTTAAATGTAAGAACAAGGGAGTCGCCGTGAGATATGAGAAGTCAAAAGTTGACCCCCCCTGTTAACTTTGCATAATTTTGATTTGAATTGCATTTTTAAGACCACTGTAAATATATTGATTTTATGATGGTTTCCTAATTTCGAAATTTATGACACATATGTAGAAATTCAAACTTTTTTTTCTTATGTAGTTAATTCTCCCCTTCATTTGTGTCATAGATGTGTAGTTCTGAACCAGGCAAAAGCCTAAGTCATGATTCCGCTGGAGTTCAGAGTGACTTCAGCATGTATTGTGAGGCCACAATCACACAGTCTGTAAAGGTGGGAGATATTACCATGTACCCACTAGCCAACAATGCACACTTTCAGTGAATGTTTTAATGGCTAAAAACATAGAATTGGTATTCCTTATAAATTCAAATCTTGCCGTTTCCTGTCAATTTTAGAACCAGCGATGGTGCATCGAGAGTCTCAGAACGACTCGGATCACAGTGCCGAGGACACACGCAGCTGTGGGACCAGCCGGCTGTTGTTCCACATTACAGATGGAGATAATCCTCTACTCTCTCCTCGGTGTTCCATCTTTAGTCAAAGTCAGAGATTTAACCTGGATCCAGAGTCTGCACCATCCCCTCCTAGTGCCCAGCAATTCATGATGTAAGTCATTGTAGATGATGTACTGCCTTTACATTGTCACTAGACATACTTTACATGATTTTTTTTAATGTAAAACCTTTATGTGTACATAATGCTGCCATCAGGCCTGACATACAAATTACATACACCAAGATTTTTGTAACCTACATGTTCCCCCCTAACTGGAGGTAAACCCTTTTATAGGATATATGGGTTTAATGTTGATGACCTTCTGAAAATGCTTATTGGAGGATTAAAGCTGAACTTCAGCCTCACCTCTTCCTCATTGAATGAGTGAGGGATGTTGTCGAGGGGCTTTTCCTTAATGTTTTTCCTCTGATGATACTTAACTGTTCACAATTTGCTGTTGAAGCTTTACTTTAGTCTGTTGCTACTGACTGCCTGTCTAGATAATGTCCTACACCCCAACCAGAAGAAAGCTTGTAATACAGATGAGATAGTAACATTATGGAAACTTTTAAAGGTTACCCTTAAAGTTTTTTTAAAGAGTAAAAAATATATTTGAAGTTTTGGACATTAGCCAGTGTCAAAGTGAGGGGAATTGGCAGGATTTTCAAAAATGTTCATACTGCAGACCACCTTTTAAGTGTTAAGGTCAGGTTCGAGGTTTTTGGTTAATGACGTGACCCTTTGTTTTTGGTGCCAAAAATACATACTGTATACCAGTAGTATTGTGGTAGCAGTGACACATTGTGTAAGATTTTTGTGTACTGTAGATTAGATTATTTAAATATTAGTTGTTCTAGTGTTAACAATTAGAGTTTTCAGCATCTTTTAACTAAAACTCAACTTCAGGCAAACAGCTAAATCCACAGATAAAATACACATACGGGAGCTATTATACCGTCCAATGGATCTGTTTTTTGTCCAACCAGCTTTTGAGATAAACTCATCCAAGCCACACAGCACAGCCCACTCTGGCAGGTCAGAAGACCTGATATTTCTTTGCTGCAGTTAAGTAACTCTTACAAGTCTTGTTCCTCCCCCAGCCTGTGACTAGACAGTGAAGGGAGAAACTAAATATCTTTGTCACTCTGTTATTCTTCCTATCAGTGTGTTCTTAGTTGGCACATGAGCACTGCAGCACAACTAGTGTGCGCTGCTTCTATATACCCTATTGTGAGCTGCACTGTACAGGGAATGCAGAAAGCTTATACAAAATCAAATTCAGGTACTTGCCTTGCTTGCATTAAAAATAACATTATATTAATTAATACACTATAGAATATATTTTACATCTTACTGGAGATCAGCTTTAATACAAGATTCTGTTCTGAATATTAGTCCAGAATTGTTTTTAAAATAACTTTCCTATTCTGAAAGGCCAAGAAGCACATCAAGAGGGAACTGTGAAGACCCAAAAGAGCCGCTGACAGTCATACAGCTCACTAAACAAATCCAGAACCTCAAGAAGAAGATCAGGAAATATGAAGATAAATTTGAGCTTGAGAAAAACTATCGTGTGAGTAAAGCCATTGTTATACTGTAGGTTGTGCTTTGAAACAATGCAGGGTAACTGTTGCCAGGATTATCATAAGGCCTCAAAATGCCCAAACTCTGTCAGACAAGATTAGAATTCCTTTTGTTACTACACAAATTACATAATGTTCTCTGGCACTGCATGACTAGTTCTTATTATAGAGCTTTTCTGATTGCCATTTACAGTGAAGGTCAGAAATGCTGATTGCCTCTGTCCATTTAATTTCAATTGGCCACACTTCAAAACATCTATCTACATATAAGTATCATGTCTCATCTATTTCATGCTAGATATGAGATCTGTTATTTGTAAATACCCAAGATTTAGGGCTTTGCAGAAAAAAAAAATCTAAAATCCCGTGCTAAATTTTAAATGGACTAACTAATCCAAATTCAGTTCCTGTCTTCAACATGACATAAAGTGAAAACAATCACAATTGGGCAGTGTTATCAAAAAATAAAACAACCAAAGGTCCTGTTCATAAATACACTTCTGCTAGTTGGGAAAATCCTCCTCATCAGCTTCACCGCTTCCTTGGTCATCTACCTGCTTATTGGACAGAATTGATGATTCTGATTTATTATCCAGTGAACTAGATGGAAGTGAACAAGTTAAACTGGAAACTATCTTGCGGAATTAGAAAACAATTGTGTACTGAGACAAGCAAATACTGTTACACCATGGTTATAATATGATGCCTGGGACACTGCCATATTTTTACAGCTGCAATTGCTACATTGCCTGAACTCTCAACTGGCACGTTGTCATCTTAAGTGATGATTAGTATGCTCTTGCAGAAGTCCAACTTTATTGAAGATTTACCTAATACCTTTGCGTTTGCCATCCTTTACCCTCAGAAGCATTTGCTGACCAACTTTAAAAATGTGAATGCTGTTGACTGTGCCTCTATGTGACCAGTCCTTATAACTATAGTCCTTAGTTACCAGTCCTGGAAAGCCAATTGCTGTAGTTGACTGTTCACTGTAATCAATATTGGAGGCCCATTGCTAACAATGCCTATTGACATACGGTGACAATTGGAAGACCTAACCTCAGAACAATTATTCATTAAAGGTATTGATTTCTAAAACATTGAATGGTGTTTTATGCCGATATCCCTGACTGACATTATTTATGTGGAATAATGGCAATCAGCTGGGAGAACTTTGAGATGCTATCACTTCAGGGTAACGTGATTGTGCATCCTAGTAAGACATGCCCGCAAGTAAGGTATATTCATTGAACACAAAGCTTCCTCACTCCATGTGACCTCTCCCATGCGAAAGCCTTGGGCTTGAGTGGCCAACTGCCAGTCATGAACAGTGTCAACTGGTGGGCATTGATTTCATACCTGAGGGTAAATTCTAACACCATCCATCACCGGTGCTTAAATATGGTGGACTCCTGCAGCAGAGAGATGACAAGGGAGTGTGGATCAATGAGTATTACTTGCCTGGGCAAGGTAGGGGGGTGATAGACTATCCAGAGGCACTGATATTTTGCAGTGAATGGTCAGGTGACCGTGTCTCTTTAACATGGCCAGGTGACAGTGTCTCTTTTGCCTGACTTGTTTAGTTCTCTCCCTAAGAAGAATATCTTATGTCTGTGGACATGTTGACTCTCAGTGGATCATCATTCAGAATAATTATTTTAATATTTTCCTTGTTTGTGTAAATGATGGCCATTCTAGTTGTAAAACTGTTCTGTCAGAGGTTGATATATATTTTTTTCATTGTACTTTAGCCATCTCACAGTGATAAGACATCTAATCTTGAAGTTCTGAAATGGATGAATGACTTGGCAAAGGCTCGTAAGCAACTCAAAGGTACATTTTATGCTAGTGTAATTTTTGGCAAATACATCACTTGCTCGAAGTTTACTGCCTGACTATCACAAGTGACTTGACCTTAACATTAAGTGCATATAGGTGTTAAAAGACTAAGTTAGAAGCAATGAAGCATTCTTTAAACAAATCTGTCCCTGTCCGTCTCACATTGGTGTACTTTCAGGTGACCATGTCAAGATTATTCCACAATATAGACTATAGATATTGGATAACCTGGGGATAGAAGTGGTCCTATGTATACAAAGACAAATGCAGCCAGCCAGACATCATAGCTGCAGGAATCTTCTTTTACTCTATAATAAATCTACATATACTCTTGTGTGTAGCCTTCCCTCCTTGTTATATCATGGGTGTCTTTAATTTGGGAGGACACTTAGATAGCAAGCCTTCCACACACTCTTCACCTCCTGTCCTGTAGACACAAGTAAGGAAGTCTGAGGAAATCTCTCCAAAGTAAGGATAATCCCCTCTTAGCCCTCGTTCACACCTGAACGTTTTGTAGCGCGTTCTACGCTCTACAAAGCGCTCAAAAATATAAATCCCATTGTATTCAATGGTCTCGTTCCCACCTTGGCGTATTTCCGCCCGTCCCTAACGCGCTACGAAACGGCCCACGCCTGAAAAGGTACATGTACTACTTTGGGCCGTTTTGTTGCGCGTTTCCATTGGGATACAGCCAAGTAGCCTTCAGAAACACGCGACGGTCGTGCAACTTTTTTTTTACCACGTAGCACGGTAAAAAAACGCACGACAGACTCGCATATGCAATACGCCTAGGTGTGAACGAGACCTTAAACAGTTGTCACCAAAACAAGTGTACTTATTGAAAGATTTCCCCTTTATTTCTTCTTTTGTAATAACTACCAACATTTTGGATTTTTCCTGCCTTTTCGTCCTGGTGAGAGTGGTTGTAACCTGATTTACCTTGTTTAATGTAGCACGCAAAACTTGGTATAACAATGATGAACCTTCTTACAGAGCTAAAACTGAAGTTATCTGAAGGCCAAAATGTGCCAAGAACCACACAAAATCAGACCTATGAAGAAATGTCTGTGGCATCCAAAGCAATGGAGCAGCACGGAGCCACCAGCTCGCCAATGTCCTCTGTAGAGGAAACAGTAGAGACTGTATGGAAGAGGCTTAAAGAGAAGCGACAACTGCTTAATATTCCAGAAAACTTAAAGGTATGCCTATGTTAGTTTACTTACATATGACATGTGCTATTCTGCTGTTTTGTGAAAATTGTGGTGTGAAGATATACTTGTCTATGGTAGATGTCATATTGTATGCTACAGTACTTGCTTTAGTATTCTGGTAATATGTGCCCTATATGCCAGGGCTTCTTATACTGCTGTCTAAAGAAGTGATAGACTTTAGATAAGTGACTTGTTTTTAAAGAGTCTCTGTCACTGAGACAAAAGAAGCTGCAAGGCTGCTGCAGGTATGACGTTCAGGTGCCTAGAATTACCTGCACCAGCCTCCTACACCTACCTGTCATGGCCAGATGCCAGGCTGTTCTGAAAGTGAAAGCTGTGACAATTCTGGATAGCATTGAAGTTTTCAGTAAAACCATGGTTCTTGACATTCTGGTCCATCACTGCATGTCACCATCACCCTGCACTATATATCTGCAGCAGTTTGTCCCCGTCCCCTCCCTCCAATGAGAACAGATGGTGTTTGGGATTTGATTGCAGCAGATCTCTAGAACACGGTATCAGTAAAAACAATTTTCTTCCCTGCATCCATGGTACAATGTACTGAGAGAAATATGAAGGCTGCAATTGCTCGTCTACTCCAACAAGCTACATTTACTCGGTTACACTTGATTTATGGTATTGTAATGCATCTGGCTTGCTTATTGGTGAATAGATGCTGGAACCAACCCTCTAGGGTATATTCAGTGGCAATAAAATACGGTATAGGCAGTGATAGTATTTAATTTGTACTATACAATATTTTATTTCCATCCAAGGTTAGACATGGCTTTTAAATAGGACTGTTAGTGGGAAGACAATGGGTATTGTAGAATCTTATTACGTTCTGAAATGTGGCCATCCCTGAAAATCCTAACTGCTTCAATACCCCCTGTTTTTTAAACAGGATATGACAAAAAAGCAAATGAATCTGGAAAAAATGAGTCTCCAGAAATGCCTTCTGTATTTTGAGAATATTCATGGACGACCAGTAAGTATCTGTGGCACCGTGTTGTATTTGTGTCTGGTCTAAGGTCACTAAAGCAGTGTTTGCGTCTACTGGCCGCATTACAGCAATCCTTTCTTGTGAAGGGGTTTCATAGGTCTAAAAATCAGGCTCATGGAAAACTTGGAAAAAAGATGTGCGTGGCCATTCTTCTTCCTCAGCTGGTCTTAGCTTAACTGGTCTGAAACCACTGTCTTCTATGATACGGAAAGGAGTTCCTTATTATCATTTTTCAGCATGGTAAAGTCAATGGAGTGGGATGTGACACAAAGCTTTTAGGGTTTTACATACTTGAGATCACATGTTGGATTCCTTTTAATCCCCAAGGAAAGCAGATCAGTAGTAATTATATTTGAGGAGATAAAAGTGATAGTTATTGACTTTAAAGTGACACTAAATTTAGTAGTTAAGTCCTAAAATTACATTCAGGTACCTTAACTATCAATAAAAATGTATCTTATTTGTGTATTTTACTTTACAACACACACAGGGACCATGGGGAACAAAAGTAGCCACCCTCCGGAAGGAAGGACAGTATCAGCAGAAATTCAGAGATGATTTGAGGATCTACAGCTGAGTGATACACAAATATGATACATTTTTCTTAATAGTTAAGGTGCTTGAATGCAATTTTAAGATTTAACTTCTGAGTTTAGTGTCACTTTAACAGATCCTCAATTTTAAACATTTTTATTATTTGAGTATTTTGGAGTATTTAAGGGCCCATTCATTCTTTTGTGTGCTTTTTCATGTGCAGTGACCCTCATTGTCATTCATTTTTATGAGCAATGCACACATTAAACAAACACAGCCGCCCCTCAGCACCCCACAACACATAACAATTAAAACATTCACGTTGCTTTATGGTGCACTGGGAAGTGGAATTTAGGCAGGTATCTTTGTTTGACATTGTAGATGTGCTTAAAAGGCCATTAAAAATGTGCACTTGAGTGTGAATAGACCCTAAATGTTAGTCATGTTCATTTTCTGTCCAGTAAATGTTTTAATGTTGTTTAAATTTTCCATGTGAGTGGAAAAAGGGTAGCTTCTGTGTGATGTTCACTGCACTAAGCACTGTGTACTCACAAAGGTAGCTGCAGAAGCCACAATAGGTATTGACTGGGTCAGTTTAAAGCTGAATGTCCCTAGTTTAGTCCTGATTTAAACCTGTCAAGTAATCATTACTAATATAAGAACTATAAGGAGGATTTATAAAAATACATGTATTCTTCTGGCATTTCACCTGTGCAGTTGCATAAGTGTCCACAGACAAGTGACACATGAAGATGGATCATTATGTGTACACACATGAAATGCAGAATTCTGAATGTGGCCAATCATATGTTGGTGTAAAGTAGACATTTATAAAGCGCTAGGGTACTTAAAAGAGAACTATGGGGTAAGTGTTTTTCCCCATAGTTCTGCTTAGGGTCACGGGAGGAGGTTAGTATACTAACCTCCTCCCGTGACCCAAAGCTCAGTATATAGCAAGCTATTGCCCACGATATACTGAGAGCGCCGCACCTGGGACGGATCCCGACATTACTTTCGTGATCCACCCAGCTTCGTGAGTGACAGCTGGCTCTGCCTATCTAGAGGCAGAGCCAGCTGTGCCAGCCCCCTCCTCCATCCATTCCTCCACTCAGCGCTGGAGGATTGGTGCGGGGAGAGGGGAAATCCCTGCGGGGAGCAGTGACTGACAGTCACCGCTCACTGCAGGAAGATGATCGGGAACTGAGCAGATCGGCTGCATATTTCTGCTCACTTCCCGATCAATAGAGCCGACCTGTAACAGCTTCTTTGTCACAGGTCGGCTCTAACTATGAGGATGAGTGGAAATCACTCACCTCATAGTTCTAGCCGACCTGTGACAATGAGACTGTCACAGGTCGGCTCAGTAGATCGGGAGGTGAGCGAACACATACCAGGTTCGCTCACCTCTCTCGATCCTGTCGCGCTCCCTAAGGAGAACTATGGGGGAAAACACTGACCCCATAGTTCTCCTTTAAGCACTAACTACATCTTCCAAACTTTTCAGAATTGCTCCTGCTGTTAAAGTACACAATGTATATAACATGTGCTATTATATGAATACAAATAATTAGAACTATAGTTACATAAACTGGCATTAAAAATGATATAGAGAGCCTCATACTGAAGTGCATTCACCCAATACTCCTTCAGGACCTTGTGCACTATTATTTAAGATTTCTGTTATCGATATCTGGATTATTTTACATTCCGCCTGTGTCCTTCCAGCTGGCCATCTGCCGCTTTATGTTCAACATTTTGTAAGTCTATACAAATTTGTTCAGGGAATTGTAAACATCGCTAGTGAGAAACCGAGAAGTGTTTGGCTGGATATTGCAGATGGATTTTTTTTTCTCCAGCTGGCTCATTTGTCATTGTAGTATAGAATATACTTTGTAGTCAATTGTGATATATAGAGTGTGATGTACTGATTATAGAACAGTGTTTATTAACCCTTTGGTGTTTTTGGTGTCTTCTGGCTTTTTGTGGCTCTGACCCCTGTTATGTCGCTCTGTTTTGAAATGGCTTCCTTGGGTGAGCTTGTACTATATACAAGCTTATCGAAGTTTTCAGTTGCACGGATCACAAGAAATGTTATAGTCCTAGTTTTATGGGACACGCTATGTGGTAGCCGCTTCCATTTTTTTTTTGTGCATAATTTAATCATGGTCTGGAGATTTTTGCAAGCGGCAGTCCAGTAATATTATCTATACAATAAGGTGCAATCAAAGGGCAGTTTTTTAAAATCCCTTTGGTAAAACATCTGCACCACGTCCTTGTCCACGGCCTATTAGAAAGCAGCAGCAGCACTCTCTATTTTCTCCTACTGTCAGCTCATGTGCGCTGCAACACACGTGATTGGCTCTCCCATTCCCAAGAGACTAATACCGAGTATTTACAATAGTTGCAATTAATAATAGTTGTTTAATGATTATATAACTGTGTTAATAATTGGTGTTTTAGAAATACATTTCCAATAGAAATGCATTTCCACTTTTGCAGCCAAATTATTATTATACAGGATTTATATAGTGTCAACAGTTTGCGCAGCGCTTTACAATAAGGATGACATTACAATCACAATACAATTCAAGACAAGATGGTAAGGAGGGCCCCGCCCCTGAGGGCTTACATTCTAAAAATTGGGATAAGACCTACACATTCCCATTCAAATAGCATACACATGTTTGTTACACATTCCCATTCACATAGCATAACTTTAAAACAACATTTCATTTAAAGAATTCCCTAAAACATTTTTACTTTATCTTTTTACTTTGAAACAATATTTACTTAATTTTTAAGCAATAAATGTTTGAGTAAACGGTTATATCAGACCAGTGTTCAACATACAACATGTGCATGCACTATATATAGATATATCTATATATAGATATATCTTTGAGCCAGTGGTTTTGGGAATCAAAGTCATAGTGGGTACACATTATGCAGATTTCAGCTTATAAATAAGATACACAATAAGTGGTCCAACGTAGGTTGGTGGGTGTAAGAACCATATGCCAAAAAGGAATCGGTAGAAATCAGATGACTACAGAAGGTAGGAGAGAGGAACGTTTTAGACGTGGGATATGGAGGTTAGAGGTGGGGTAGAGTATGGGGAAGGACACGTATGGGTGAAAGGAGGGGGGGGGGGCAGGCCATTCTAGCTATACAACTTAAAACCATGTCTATCATGGAGTCTGTTACCTTACTTATTTTTTTACTTGCTGAAACTCTTACTAAGCTTTCCCCTTCTGGAGGCTGGGGAGTAATATTTGCCATAATTAATCCTTTCTGTACTGTGCTGGCAGATCTCTGTCATCAGATGTAAACCAGATGTGCACACTGGTTAAAGATCTCAAGGCTTGGGCGGTACATTGCATATTAATGCAGTTCCCCATTATGTCCCTTAGCTTCACATTGTGATTTATTCTAAGCAATAGAAGCTGGCTACAGTGCACTTTGTATAAACCTGCTCCAAAGAAACAACTAGAAATGTAAGAAATATTTTGAAAAGATTATTTTTAGATACACCGTGTGAATGGGAAAACACAACAAACACACAGTGGGGATTTCTCAAATGTGATTGCAAAGGTAGAACTTGAATTATGCTCATATGTTCGATACCCCTCCAGAAGAAGATAATGTTTGAAGTAGCCATGCTTTTAGGGAACAAACGAGCTTATAATGAGGTGGAATGTTAATACATCATTGACATTTTCAAAGTGTGATCGTACAGTTATAAGTTTAATTTCCTGACAGCTGAACAGTAGCTTTAAAAAGTGTGCATCATGTAATTAAAATCAACATAACAAAATCTGATCATGTCAAAACTGGGAGGCTTTTTTTCCCTGCCAGTTCATGGAGATGAATGTTAATTTAAGCTATTCTTTGCAATGCAGCTCAGTTGTACATTGTGTTATAGTGCACTGCAACGCACCTGCATTGCCTTGGTGTACAGGGGTGCTGTTGAAAACGAATGAGGTGTAAAGTGGGCCAAAAAAAACCATTTGGAATTGTGACCACTCGCTGGTATTGGTTCCCAGAGCAGCATTTTTCTCAGTGCACCTATTTTAGTGGTGGGCAGGAAAGTGGGAGTTATGTAAACTGGGCATAATGTAAATAGGTGCACTAAAGAGTAAAAGTAGGCGCATTCTTTGTACCTTCGCCCACAGGCCCCTTTTTCAATTGTCTTGCTGATTTTGGTGATGTCATTTTGTATGCATGTTATTCCTGTGCTAGTTGTTGCAGGTCTGTAGATACCACAGGTCTGCCATTATTTAAAGGGAAAATCATGTACAGCTAACAAATCAATCCAGGATGATTGGCATGGTAACCTATAAGCTGGCTTACTAACAACTAGCGTTCTTGCTACTAGACCTGCTAGTTGAGTTATATTTTGCCTGTTTACCAGATACAGCCTGCTGTGGTCATATTAATTATTTGGAAGTGACTAAAAACCTTAACCTTTCTTATCTGCTTCAAAATACTTGTTTATCCTGCCAGACGTATTGTAAGCTGGTCATTTCCATTGCTCTCCTCCTGTTCTGACTGTTATCATTTATTATTGTCCCCAGTTCTCTCTGTTAACTACAGAAAATCACCTCCTTGTGTGATAGAGATGGCTAGGGGGAGATTGAGTTCTGTAGTCCTAACTTTGTCCTCCTATGACACACCTGCTGCTTTGTAGATACAGTACAGTGAGTGTTGTCACCTTAGGGAAACAAGTGTGTAAATAAAAATAAAGAAAGCAAAAAAACGAATGGAGCGCCCACATCTGACTGGTGGGCTGCAATATGTAACATTTTTGTTCCTGAAGTTTAGATATGCTTTAAGCATTTGCCAGTCAGTGTAGCTCAAGTCCTTTTCCTGAAATGCTCATATAACAGAACAAAAAAATCGTAAGGGCCAGTTTAAATTCTATGTTTGGCTAAGATGTAACACAGTGGTAATCGTAATGGTAATGGTGTGGGTCATCCTGGGACAACTAAATGGCTATCTCTGCTTTATTCCTCAAGCATTCATTAATCATAGTCTTCCAAAATGATATTGAAGTTGGTCTCTTGCGTAAGCTTTGATTTGTAAAAATAAACCGCCAAGTCATTTTCCAGGCTTAGGGTAATCGTAAAGCTAATTTTTACATTTATGTTTATAGTTTGTATTGAGCACGTTGCGTTCATTCATTTCTTTATGTCAATGTTCTATACAAAGTTTATATTTTACAATTTTAGATTAGCGCTACATCAGTGTCTAACTTCTTACTATTTACGAATCCACAATGTTTGTGAATGTTTGTGAATGTTTGTTTTTATGGTTACTGTTTAGTATATCTTCATAATAAATGTAATCATACAACTGTACAATGTGTTTGCAGGTCACAAAGCAAGAGAGGAGTCTTATGAAACCATTATATGACAGATATAGGATTATAAAGCAGCTGCTTTCTACTGCAACCCTGATTCCAACAATTGTAAGTATTGTGGGAAAACACTTTATCCATTTGAGTAGGTTTTGTTTGGACTTTTATGTATGCAGTATCTTTTAAATGAAGAAGGTAACGGTGATGTGAGGGGGCATTAGAGATTAGACTGGAACTGACATTTCATGGTAGCATAAAAATCTATTCATGTAATGAGAGCTTAAATACGTCAACCATTAATCTTTATTTTTTCAGTATTAAATCGATCCTTTCTGCTTCTAAAAAAAAAAATGCTACCAAAAGTTCCCCAGCAAGGGAAGAAATGGCATAAATACTTATCTGGCATCCAGTGTCTCCCACCTCCCCTCTGTTGCAGTCTCTGCCAGCTCCTTTTGCGTTCAACACTTCTAGAAAATTTCAGATGCCTGTGTCCTCACCGCGCACTGTCTCATCCTCCCTCCCTATGTCACTACAGTACTCAGAGGGGGTCGGAGGATAGAACTGCAACACGTGGTGGGGGCAAAAGCACCTGGAACACCAGATATTGTTGCATGCTGAAGAGAATGCTGGAGGCTACAGTGCTGGAACAGAGTGGAGGAAGAAGATACGGCCACCAGAGATGTGAGTATGCTACCTCTTGCAGAGAATCTTTCGGCTGCATAATTTAGAACCTGACAGGGTCACCTTTAACTATATAACTATATATGTGTTTGAACTTTAAAGGAGAATTATGGGGTGAGTGAAAAACACTCATCTCCATAATTCAAGCTGACCTGTGACACTGAACTCTTGTGACTCTTGCAGGGAATCTTTCGGCTGCATATTTTAGAACCTGACAGGGTCACCTTTAACTATATAACCATATATGTGTTTGAACTTTAAAGGAGAATTATGGGGTGAGTGAAAAACACTCATCTCCATAATTCAAGCCGACCTGTGACACTGAAGTTGTCACAGGTCGGCTCTATTGATCGTGAAGTCAGCGAACACATACCGCCGATCGCTGACTTCCAGATCCTCTCTCTGCAGAGAGTGGTGACTGTCATTTACCTGTCCCCACAAGGATTCTCCCCTCTTCTCCCCTCTCCTATCCGTTCCTCCACCGCTGACTGGAGGAACGGATTGGGGTGGGAGTTGGGCACAGCTGGCTCTGCCTCTATTGCCAGCTGTCAATCAGCAACGGGTTAGATCTCGACAGTATTGTTGGGATCCGTCCCGGCTGTGGTGCGGCTGTGCCACTATATACTGAGTTTTGGGTCACCGGAGGACATTTAGCATATGTCTTTCCGTGACCCTGAAGAGAACTATGGCCAAAAAAGGTTGCCCCATAGTTCTCCTTTAAAATAAAAATATGATCTCCCATCTACATGATGAAAATATCTTTTTATATTCATAGCGTTTCCTTTGCATGTATGAACATGTCGCTTTTATAAAACTATATATTTATTATTCAGACTTTGGACATGTGATTGCACATGATACCTGTATAGCACCATCCCTCAGTTCCAGGTTTCTGGAACACAATAGCGTTGCAAGGTTGCTGTGATGCAAATAAAAGAATCACCTGCTATTTTACGAAGCAAAAAAAACAATGGAGCATGAGATAAAGGAATACACAAAGTGCTTTTTTGTTTCATTTAAACAAGCATTTATGGCTCACAGATTTCTATTGTAGTAGGTGGACCATCAAGCAAGACCATTAGTAGGCACTGAGACCTCAAAAACACAATAAAATATACACATTTTTAAACTTTTTTTTTTTGTATGCAAGTATATGTAGGGTATGTTTGGACCATGTCCAGACCACAACGGTTTGTTCCTGGACCAAAAAAGTATCCCAATGAATCCCTATGGTATCTGTGGGCTCTGTTCACACCAACGCAGTCTGTTCCAGTTCAGACAAAAAAGATACTGCTTTGCAAGATTCTCACATCCACAGACATGATTCCCAGACGAGATGCTTTATGGGATTTGTAGTTTCACCACAGCTGGAGGGCCGCAGTTTGGCCATCCCTGCACTAAATGCTCTGTGGTGTCACCAGAAGTGTCCGAAACACTGACATTGTTATTACAGACTACTTTATCAGATGGTGATGAAACTAAAATGTTTTTTCCTTTTAAATAATGAACTTGCTTTGGCCTTAGCATGAAGAAGAGGATTCGGAAGATGACAGTGCTCAGAACTCCTCCTGTGAATTCACTCTGACAGCAGATCCAGAACTGGCTGTAGATGAGCATCTGTTTTATTGCAGTGAAGATCCAGAACCTGCATATGTCTCTCCCCTGGATGAAAAATATTCAGTTCGACAGTCGGCGGTGTCCATGTCCAACCTTCATGAAGCATCAATGTGAGTTCACCTAAAGCTTTAGGCTGCTTTGTTCACAAATTACGGCAATGCATAATTGCTCATGTAAATCTTTGTTTTCTATGCTGTTTCATTGTTACACGGCTGACACATGTACGGTGCTGGATCATTCTGGACCTTATTTATCAGTGTCAGTGTTCTCTTTAAAATGGTCCATTACAATGCTGTTTCATTGTTACATGGCTGACACATGTATGGTGCTGGATAATTCTGGACCTTATTTATCAGTGTCAGTGTGTCGGTGTTCTCTTTAAAATGGTCCATTACAATGTAGCTATATAAATGCTCATTCGTTGCATGCCTCCAGCAGCCAAATCTATTCAAACCAGCACAGTAAAGTGACAGCTGGTCATATTAGTTTGTACAGCTCTACAGCAAACAACCAGATTCAAACAGTGCTAATACTGATCACACATGTCACAATCTGATTGTACTATCCCCTTTAGATTTACTATTAGTTGAATCTCAATGGAATGGATTGCTTTTTTGGGCCCTCCTACAACACAGTTTTGGTAAATCTAAAGAAGATAGTGCAATCAGTTTGTAATGTGTATGGCCATGTAAAGATTCACAAACAGTTCCAAAGCGTGAAGGTCTATGTAAACAGCCCATTCAGTTAGAAATTGCAGGACATTGTTGTAAATGTAAAGTGCATGGTCAGTTTAAGGGCTGCCATAGGCATGATATCATAAACGCATGTTCTACCACACTCTAACCATCCATAGGTACTTGCATAAGCTGCAGGTTTCCTAAACATGAATGGTTTACTCTGTGCCCTTATGCTTAATCTGTGGAGGAGACATGCAGCAGACATCTTCAGTGGTGGCTTATCAGGCAGAAAACCAGGGAAATTGTAGGCTCCGTTTCCCTAATGTGAGAGCCTGGAGGGGTTAGAGAGCAGAAATCACTCCGTATTGCTACAGCAAGAGATCTCTGGTGTTAGCCAATCTCCAAGCCGGGTAGACATGGTTAGAATTTTGTTAAACAACATTGTTTTTAGAGCGTTCCGTTTGGTTTTCTAAAGGTTAATATGGTCAAATCAAAGATCATTTTGGACAATAGCAACAGAAACAAATCGAAGGAGCAGGATGGAAAATGTCCCTGAATAACATTCACTGAACAGTGAATGTGGTTTTTGTTCGTGAAATTCCATTCATTTCCAAAGTCGATTGTTAAAACCAAACAAAATTTCAACCGATGTTTGTCAAGTCTCTGATCGCATTATCGAATGTTCTGGAGAGATTTCTTTGTACAAACGTCCATGGGAAATTCTAACCGTGTATGCCAAGCTTTAAAGTAGAATTATGAGGTGAGTGATTATCACTCAGCCTCATAATCTGAGCCGACCTGTGACAATGAAACTGAGATTGGGAAGTGAGCGAACACATACCGGCGATCGCTCACTTCTCGATCCTGTGCTGGCAGAGAGCCGTGACAGAGGAGGGACTGGATTCCCCCCTTCCCGCTCCTCCAGCGCTGACTGGCGGAACGGACGGGGGAGGGGGCGGGTACAGCTGGCTCTGCCTCTAGATAGGCAGAGCCAGCTGTCATGCAGCTGGGTGGATCCAGACATAATTGTCGGGATCCGTTCCGGCTGCGGCGTCTCAGTATACCACGAGATGTAGCTCGCGGTATATTGAGCTGTGGGTGACGGGAGGACGCTAGTTTGTGTCCTCCCGTTACCCTTAGGAGAACTATGGGGAAAAGCCCTGACCCCATAGTTCTACAAGTAAGATGGGGAAATGTGGTATCAGTTGGCATGGATAGGATCCCTCGGACAGGACAATCCAAAGAGCAAGTTCACCTTTATAATATCTTCTGCATATAGCATAGTGTACATCAGAGTATTCATGAACTTGCTCTGGCCATATAAAAGTTTTCAGATCTTGCAGGTTGCTGATCAATACATGTCCATTGTATACAGACAAGATGCTGGAATCACCTTCAATGTTGCTGTACATTACAGATATTCGAAGCAAAATGTCACTCACACAGAGAATTAGAACATGTAGGGAATTTATGATTATGATAACCTCACTCACATACATGTAGGAGATTTATTTTTATGATAACCTCACTCACATGTAGGGGATTTATTTTTATGATAACCCCGCTCACATACATGTAGGGGATTTATTTTTATAATGACCCCACTCACATACATGTAGGGGATTTATTTTTATGATAACCTCACTCACATACATGTAGGGGATTTATTTTTATGATGACCTCACTCACATACATGTAGGGGATTTATTTTTATGATAACCTCACTCACATGTAGGGGATTTATTTTTATGATGACCTCACTCACATACATGTAGGAGATTTATTTTTATGATGACCTCACTCACATACATGTAGGGGATTTCTTTTTATGATGACCTCACTCGCATACATGTAGGAGATTTATTTTTATCATAACCTCACTCACATGTAGGGGATTTATTTTTATCATAACCCCACTCACATGATAACCCAAAGAAAATGATAAGCAGCAACGAGTAGACACTTTAAAATATTGAAGGACAAAACACAGTATATATTGAAATAAGCAAACATCTGCATATGGTGCTTTTATTTATATATTGGAAGGTGAACTTCTGCTTTGTTTGGAATATCCTTTTTAACTTTTATTAGATACTTTACTGCACCATACATGCCATACTCATGTTAGCTCTCACAGGCAGGGCCCTCCTAACCATGTTGTCTTGAATTGTATTGTATCTGTAATGTTTTCCTTATATTGTAAAGCGCTGTACAAACACAAACTGTTGACGCTATATGCATCCTGTATAATAATATTATTTCTACATGGTCACCTAAATGTATTTGTCCTTATCAATTAGGTCTGAGCTTCTTGATCAACTTCGAGAAACCAGAGCAGATAAGAAAAGGTTAAGAAAAGCTTTAAGAGAGTTTGAAGAGCACTTTTTACGACAGACCGGAAGGTAAGAGGCATTCTGGGATAGACATGTACAGTAATGTGACTTGCCCAATTTGTTTTGCTTGAGCTGAGGTCTCATAGATATGCTATTTGAAATAGAGTAAAGACGTGCTCCTTTGCTTTCATGAATCATGACTGCCTAGTTCTGTTGCATGTTCAAATAATATCAGGCGGGCAAAGGGTTAAAAGATGAGACAGTGTTGAGTAAAGAGATGCACAGCAGGTCTACAAAAGTAAATAGGATGGGATATCTGTGACAAATATAACTGCAGGTTCCAGCTGCGGTTAGCCGTAGAGAGTTCTGCTGGGAGACCGCACTCATTCAGCCCAAAACAGCAAGATTTAATTTGAAGGCCATTTACTGGAAGCAGCTGCTTAAGAATGGAATATACACTATATTACCAAAAGTATTGGGACGCCTACCTTTACACGCACATGAACTTTAATGGCATCCCAGTTTTAGTCCCTAGGGTTCAATATTGAGTTGGCCCACCCTTTGCAGGTATAACAGCTTCAACTCTTCTGGGAAGGCTGTCCACAAGGTTTAGGAGTGTGTCTATGGGAATGTTTGACCATTCTTCCAGAAGCACATTTGTGAGGTCAGCTACTGTGCAAGCCAGTCAAGTTCCTCCACCCCAAATTCGCTCATTCATCTCTTTAAGGAACTTGCTTTGTGCACTGATGCACAGTCATGTTGGAACAGGCACTGATGCAACAGTCATGTTGGGAGCATGAAATTGTCCAAAATGTCTTGGTATGCTGATGCCTTAAGAGATCCCTTCACTGGAACTAAGGGGCCAAGCCCAACCCCTGAAAAACAACCCCACACCATAATGCCCCCTCCACCAAACTTTACACTTGGCACAATGCGGTCAGGTAAGTACTGTTCTCCTGGCAACCGCCAAACCCAGGCAGATCCATCCGATTGCCAGACAGAGAAGCGTGATTCTTTCACTCCAGAGAGCACGTCTCCACTTCTCTAGAGTCCAGTGGTGGCGTGCTTTACACCCCTGCATCCGACGCTTTGCATTGCACTTGGTGATGTAAGACTTGGATGCAGCTGCTTGGCCATGGAAACCCATTCCATGAAGCTCTCTACGCACTGTTGTTGTGCCAATCTGAAGGCCACACGAAGTTTGGAAGTCTGTAGCTATTGACTCTGCAGACAGTTGGCGACTTTTGCGCACTGTACAATTCATCATGCGCTGACCCCGCTCTGTCATTTTACAGCCTACTAGTTCGTGGCTGAGTTGCTGTTGTTCCCAGTTGCTTCCACTTTGTTATAATACCACTAACAGTTGACCGTGGAATATTTAGTAGCAAGGAAATTTCACGGAACACATGAATCCAATGATTTGGAGGGTGTCCCAATACTTTTGGCAATATAGTGTATACATGAAGGCTGCAAGTTACAGAACATGGAATCATGGTTACCTTCATTCCAGATACCCCACCCCATTATATTAGACCTGCTGCACTGGTAAGTAGCAGATTATTAAAGCAGCTCTATAGGCTCTAAATGCAAATTTTCTGACAAAGGCAGCTTGGAAAACTATACCTCTATCCAAGATAAGGGGCTGATTGTTTTCCTCAAGACCATACAGTTTTTTTTGCTTTCTCTGGCTGCTGTACTATGCATAGGCCTGGTCTATAGGAGGGGCAATCCTGTCTTAGATGTCACTAACTATGTAAGCCATGTAGCAGTGCTGGGACTACATTTCCCAGCACTACTTGCCCTGTAATAAATGGACATGTGAATTGCACAAACATTAGGCAGGGTTGGGCAAGGCTGGGAGCAGTAGGACAGGGCCAGGTGTAATCAACCTCCATATACACAAGCTAATAGTTTGCCTATTAGGAAAACGTTTTAGTTTCACCCACCATGCAGTTTCTTGCCATCACTCTGTAGTCTGAAGAAAGTGTACATAACAGGAATAATGTACAGACGGTACTGGCAGGATCAGCAGGTATTTTATAGGATTGGAAGCGAGTTTAAATGTAAAACACAAGTTGACATGTACATATGCATTTAGATTTTTTGCTTATAGTGTAACTTAAACAGTATTAGGAGGGGCTGAATCTCTAGATGCATTCTTTTTGGACGAGCACACTTCATTTGCTGAAGCCCTGCAACATCTACCTGCTGAATGACACAGATTACAATACATGCATGGTAGTCACATCCTCGCCCTATTATGTCTTTCAGGAGCGCGCAGAAAGAAGACAGAATACCAATGGCTGAAGAGTACTGTGAATACAAACAGATAAAAGCTAAGCTTCGGCTGCTGGAGGTCCTGATCAGTAAGCAAGATGTATCTAAAACGATTTAGAATCTGCGAACACACCACAAGCGGTATTCTGAAGACAAAACTTTGCTGTATTTCTGCACACTCATGTATGACACTGAAATGCTCATGCACTTTAATAGTTATACACTACCTGCTAGGGATAACAGTAGCATGGAATTGAAAAGGGATAATTCAAGATCTGTCCACAAAACACTTCTAATAGTTGGAGCTTTAAAGGCCAAGGAGGTAAGATCAGTGATGTTGAGCCACCCAGGGCAACCAGTTAGCTTTTGTGAGTCTGAGCACCACAAAAGAATGACGTCTGATTGGTTGCTGTGAGACATAACACTTCATTGCCCTATCATGGTAATTTTAAAAAAAATCCCATTTATGCTCATTCTTTAAGGCAAAATCCAGTAACCCATGACAACCACTTCTACACAAAAGGTTTATTCTTTTACTCTAAACTGGGATCCAGTTGGTTGTTATGAGTACGTGCACTTTGCGTGCCATCATTGTACTGCCTTAGTGAACAAGTCTGAATGAGAATGTCTTTTAGGAAGGTAAAGGCACTTGGCATTATTCCTTTTCCAAACTCCAGAATAAAATCTTCTCAAAGGCATTATGGTTGTAATCTGTCAGAAGTCATGTAATGGGATTGAATTAATAAGGCTTTTATCACTTATGATTGTGTACTTTCATTTTGCCAATTTACTAGCAATTTTAAAGAATACAGTTTCAATTTTCATAGAACTCTGTAACAATTTACAGTGAGATTTGTGTATAAAAATGAGAGGACTGGAAAGTGTTGCCTGGAACAACCAGTCTGGTGTTTGCTTGCATTTGTAGAATAATTGGTAACTGGTATCCAATTGGTTGGCATGGGCAATGCCTCCATTTTCCTCCAGTATTTAGACACAAATCTTTGTTTCTCGAACGTGCTTCATTGTCAGAAGTGCCTTTTGATATGTTGCAGATGTTACCCTCAATGCGGATATCACAGTTAATGTACATTAATAGAATATTCTAGTATCCAGAACGTAACCTGTTTATGCACAGACTGTATGTATTTATAGTCTCTGGTTATATTGTTAATATTGAGGTGTATTTTTTTTCCCACTCTGTGTTAGTTTTGGTTAAAAAAAAATGACACTGTCTTCTACAACCAAAGGCCAATGATGTAAGCAACAGGACTGCACTTTCTGAAAATTGTATTATTTAACCTATAACTGGGAGGCGGATTTCATTCCTCACGAGTGGGAACATCTTTGTGTTCCATATCAGGAAATGCATCCGCTGTCTCCAGTGTTTCATATCTAGTTTTGTGGAATATATTGTAAGAGCAAAAGTATTTTTTAAAATATTTATTTTCTTGAACATCTTTCTAAAATTAAAGCAGCATTGCATATAAGAGAATATATGTAGTTACAAATGATTGAAATGTAAAATGTCCCTGTAGCAATATTCCCCGAACTAGGTTCTTATCTACTCACTCAAATTCCTCCACTGCAGTGGAACTTTTGTGTTCCCTACGAAGCGGCAAGGAGTTTCGATTTACTAAAAAATGATTTGATAATAACCTTAATGTTCTGTTTGTGGTATCTGGTGAATATAAAAAACATTCTCTATACCAAACGTTATCAGTGTATCCATAGCCTTCCACTTCCATCCTCCTTTTTTAGAATGAATAGCTGGACAGTCGAGAAATGTTTGCAATGTGCTATTCTGAGACATTTATGAGCATACCATAAATGCAATGTTTAACCCGGCACTGTAAATGTAAACATGCTTTCCATTATTTTTTAATTGGGTTCAAACATTTGCAAGATGCACTATGAAAACTTGTGTTGGGCTAATGCATTGCGAACATTTTAGGTATTCAGGGGATATTTGAGCAGTCTGCCCAGATATTGTATTTTAGTTTTTAGTAGAGACTGTAATGTTAAAACCAAATATTGATTTCCAATGTCACTTGGGGACTCCAGTGATGTGACCTCTGCATTTGAGTTCTAAAGTCTGTACAACTACCATGACGAATCCAATTGGGGGGGGAGGAGGGGGGGTGTTACCCCTTTGTTATTCTCAGTGTATTACAGAAGCAGTGGGGGCACCCCTGTTGTAGCAGGTAGTGTGAGACTCTGAGCTAAACAAAAAAAGAACCTAAAGCGTTGTGCAAACTGTTGGCGCTATATAAATCCTGTATAATAATAATAACTTTGGGGGGGGAGATCTTACCACTGGAGTCCCCAAGAAGCCAGCGGGTATTATACAGTCCATTAGAGTCCACCTAGAGCACAGAAAGGAATTTTCAGTAGCATGACCCATTAAATTAACTTTACCAATAAGGTCATTTTTAGACTTAATGAGGAGACCCACCATACTCATGCGCCTGTGGTTTGATAATCTGTTATTTTATCCGGGATTTCCCCCATTCATGTGAATATTAAGCCTTTGCTATGACTACTAAAATCAGCAGCTTTCTGCTGAGAAAGGGACAGTAAAGTCATACATGTCTTCACTCCATTACTTATCAGACTGGGGGTTTGGTATTTACTTAGAGATTAGGTATCTTTATTGTGCTTATTCACTAAGGCCTTGCAAGGTGAAAATGACTTCAACTTTATTGAAACATATTTGCTTGCTACTGAATCTTCCTCTGTACGAGCTCTAGTTCGTGCTCAGCTTGAAGAAAGTGGTCTTTGGGCACCAGTACATTCTGTGCTGTTCTGTGTAATAGCAAGCAAGTTACAGGTCTATGGGAGGTCCATCTATCCATTGCTGCACATCAAATGAGTAGTGAGAATGAATATATTTTATGTAAATAGCACTTAATGTTTAAAATACAAGATTATGGATAGAATAAACAGATTACAAAAGGTATGTTCAAGGATGTTTCCTTTCATTGAAAAGCTTAGTTCCAACTTCCCGACACATTTGCTAGTGTAAACCATGGCATTTGCATAGGCAGTATGCACTGTAGAAAGATTTGACTATCTTGTTCCCTTCTGTTTCTGTAGTCTCCTAAATATTGTGACTCTTTCCTACTGAGCACAGTGTATCCTTTATTTTGCTGCAGGTTAATCTTTCACTGGTCTTCAGCATCGTGATCAGCAGGGAGCATTGGGGTCAGCTGTATTCCTGCTGTTTGTGTTTTAGTCCTGGCACTGGGCAGTGGTCTGGTAAAGGGGTAGGCCTGCCATACGTATGGACTTGGAAGAATAGGGGTTTTAGCAACCTTTCACTTCAGCACAGGGAGGCGATCAGTTAACTGAGGACTTACAGTACATGTATACAGCCATTCTGGTCAATATACTCTGTCCCAGGTGACAGAGTACTTGACAGGCCTTACATAAACATGCCAAGTGCAGATGAGCAGATTGATCTGTGCACTGCTAGGCTCCATGCACACACACGCCTCTGCTACCAGATATGCACCCGATCAGACAGATTGTGAACTAAGGAACTGGTGAATGAGTCACTGGTTATCTCTAGTAACACATACAGTGACTGGTTCTTTTTCATCATATGTGTCAAGTACTGTGTAATGCACCAGTGCTATATAAAAGTACATAAAAGCTTTTACAGCACTTTTTTTTCATGGTCGCTGACATTCTTTGTCCCTACCGGATTAGCACAATATTTCGGGGGATTGGACATGTTTGATTATCAAAGGAAACACAAAACATAACAAATTCCATGCAGACAGAATTACTCTAACGTCTTATCACTATGTGGTCAGAGAAAACACAGCTAAGAATTCAGTATGCTCAGCTCTGTTAATCAGTCCTCCATCAAAACAGACGAATACTAGCATTTAATACAGGCACACCAGAGCATGTACTAACCTTTTGGACAAGATGGTCAAATCCTATTTCTTGTATAGCTGCTCATTGCATTACCTTACACACTAACAGATAAAATGGTGTTGTGCTGGTACTGATTGTTACCAGAAGGCCCTTGTAAAGTATTTTGTAAAATAAAAAAAAAAAAGTTTTAATAATATATATATATTTATATTTTTT